AGATACGAGAAAATATTTTGGAGGTAGAAACAATAATATTCGATTCTTTTAGGAAGGGATGTTAAAGGACAGAGAGAGAAAAGTCAAATAAGATGCTGAGGTTTTGAGCTTTTATAACTTAAACAGTTGTGATGCCATTGCAAGTAAAAGAGAAATCAGGCTAAGAAGCTAACTTGGGTTTTGAATACAATTTTATGACGGGGGTTAGATAATACAATGTTCAAAGTTCTTTCCAACCCTAATATTCGACACTTGTTCCTTTAAACTGTTCTCACCCTTCCAACTTCTTTGTATGGCAATGACATCATTGCCATTTTACCATATCCAACAGAAAACATCTGATCCTTAATTTCTATTCTCACTGTCCGTTCCATAACCAGACCCTTATCACTTCCTGTTTAAATTACTATAAAATACTTTAAATTGGCTGACCTGACTCCAATATCTCCCCCTCCAAATATATCTTCCTTAAATGTGGCCTCTTTTCACATTTTATTTCTTTGTTCAAAAACTTATTCCTAATTCCTAGAGCATTACGTCTAAATTACTCTGCCTGTCATTCAACTGGGGATCCCTGGTGGCCCAGTGGTTAAGAAGGTGGCTGCTAACCAAAGGTTGGCAGTTTGAATCCACTAGCCACTCCTTAGGAACACTATGGGGCAGTTCTACTCTATCTTATAGGGTCGCTATGAGCTGGAATTGACTCAACAGCAAAGAGTTTGTTTACTCAATTTATTCAACAATCTTGTCTGACCCTATACATTCCTCTGCTCAACATATCTCTAACATAAGACAGACTGAATTTTTTCGTTCTTCTCAGACAACATGCACATTGCTACCAATCTAGCTTTCCACATGGACCTTTCATTTGAATTTTATATGCTTATTCATTTTCTACCCTCAGGTCCTAATTCTTCTGTGAATCCCTCCCTGACTAGTAAGGCTCCTTTCTGCCCTAAAGCTCTATGATAATTTTTACTGATATCCTAACTTATTTCCACATTTATAACTCCTGCAACTCTTTTCATCCATGCCCTGTCCTCTTCATTCAGTATTCTCATTAGATATATGCTCCTCTCTTTCAAAACCTTTTCCAGTAAACTGTCATGCCAGAAATTATCTGAACAACTAGTCGGTACTAAAGTGTGGAAAGATGCATTTGACTTGTTATAAAATGCTAACCCTAACCCTAAAACAGACTAATAAGGAAGATATTTGGAGGGCAAGGTGATTTTTCTAGTGTCCTTCAAGGTTACTTATTTATTTTTGGGAAAACACTGGCTTGTTGAAAAAGATGGGCTGATCCGTGCTGAGACGATATCTCCAAATTCAACAGGAATTGAACTAATGTCAGCAGGATGCCTTGTAAAGACAAAAAAAAGCATTGGATTGGGAGACTGGAGACCTAGGTTCGCTTCTAGTCCCAACACTGTCACTAGCTAGCTGTATGATTTTAGACAACTCAATAGATCTGTCAATATATGTTTCCTGAAAAACACACCATTAACTAATGAGGTAAGAAAGTAAATTTCCTGAAATACACTGTTACAAGAACCTAACAAGTTTGTAAAACAAGTTGTCAGGTAACATATAGTAAATTCTGGAATGTCTCAACCTGAAATTTCTGTATATGAATGTACTATCCTGATAGCCTGTCAGAAATCATGAAACTGCAAATTGTCTTTTATAAACACAACATCTTAAAGCACAAATAAAAATATTCATGTAGATTTCCAAGAGTCAGTTACTTATTCATTCAATAAGTATTAATTGAGAGACTATTGTGCCAGGCCTTGAGGATACAGCAGTGAAAACAAATATGGTAAGTGTTACACCTGCCCTCATAGAGATCACTATCTAGTATGGGTGATGAGCAGAAGAAACAATTATAAGACAGAGTGGTAAGTGCTGTGATAGTGGTAAGCACAAGGGAGTCACGGAGCACAAAAAGGACAGATACCTAAACTGGTCTTTTGGAGGAGAGAAGTGATTAGGCAAGATGTATCCTGGAATGAGTGACTTATAGGCTGAGGTCTAAAGGACAGTTACAAATCAGCCTTTCAGTGAATGGGTGGGGGTTGGAAACGCATTTCAGGAAGAGTGAACAGGATGTTCAAAGGCAAGGGAGTATGTGACAACATGGAATATTTAGGAATCCCAAGTAGTTTGAAAGAGTTGGAGCGAAAAAGCCTTGAAAGGATTTGCAAATGAAGGGTACTAGTGGTTAAGAGAATGGCTGCTTACCAAAAAGTTCGCAGTTCGAATCCACCAGGCGCTCCTTGGAAACCCTGTAGGGCAATTCTACTCTGTCCTAGAGGGTCACTATGAGTTGGACTTGACTCGATGGCAACATTTTTTTTTTTTTTTATGGTGTAGTGGTTAAGAATACAAGCTCTGGCCTGGGTTAAATTCCAAATCTGCAATTTACCAGCTGTGTAACTTGGGCAAGTTATTTAATTTCTTTGGGCTTTGTTTTCTCGTCTGTAAAATCAGAACAATTTATAAATATATCTCATAGGGTTGTTGTGAAAATTAAATGAGTTAAAACACATAAAACACTTCGAACAGTATCTGGCACAAAGTACTCTGACCCTACTCACTTGAATGTAAATTCCAGGATGGTAAAAAATTTAGTGTGTCACCAGGACTTAGAATAGCGAGTAGCCCTAATAGGCATTATTTTTCATAGGTATTATCCTAAGCGGTGAGAAGGTTGAATAATCTCAGTTTTCACTGTGGCCTTAATATAGGGCCACAGTGTAAAGAAAGAGAAGGAACTAGGAAACCCAGCCGTTCAAATTTAAAGCTGGACTTTAAAAATCAAAAGGACTTCAAATTAAAATCATCTCTTGCCTCTTCTATGGGCTATATCAGGGCAAGAATCATTTCTTAATATTCATAGTTACTGTTCCTTGAGCACTTACTATATGTGAATCACATGATAAACATTTTAAATGCATGACCTTATTCAATCCTGTGATGCAGGTACTATCGTTACTTCCAATTTAGAGACAAGAAACAGGCTCAGTCGGAGAAGTTAGCTGATTCGCCCATACTCAGACAGTTACTAAGGTGAGGAGCAAAAATTTGAACCCTGATCTCTTAGACCTGAATCTAGTTAGTAGTACAGTGTTTGGCATATAGTTGATGTGCAATAAATATTTGTTGAATAAATGGATGAAAGAATACATCAGTAAATCTATACTCTTCAGCAAATACACCTACAAGGTTAGCTTTAATGCTGTCCATGGTCTTGATAAGGGCAACCTAATTTTAAGAGTAAGGAAGAAATTTTAGTCATAAAAGAGAAGAATTTACATGGGAAAATTCCTTGACTTTGGAAATTCTGATTCAGAGAAGGGATCTGGATTTGCTTAGAAATTGCACACACACACACACACACACAGACACACACACACCAGAACAGGTTTAGAGTACCTTCCATACGCACATACACACATGCGCATGCACATCCACACAACCATACTTTTTTTAAATCTCATGCTTTCTTTTGTTTTCTTAACCCCCTGACAAGGTGTAAATAATGTCAGAGCTAGAAGGATTTAGCGATTGCTAAATCCAGTCCCCTCATGTAAATATAGAAATTGAGGCTCTAGAAGGGAAATAAGTTGCAAAGGTCACACAAGGAGTTAGAGTCAGATTAAGAATCTCAGTTTCCTGACTCACAGGTTTGTTTTACTCTGAACTGTCACCGTTTACCATCTCAATTTTATAGATGGGGTAACCAAAGCATCCTAAGAATGTTGATGACCAAGCTCCTGCCACTAGTCCATTGAAACAAGACTTGAGATCAGATCTCCTTTATTTTAAATATGAAGCTTGCTTTTGTCTAAATGTTTCTGTCTGAATGCCCAGAAGGAAGACTCCTTCCTATTGAATTAACTGTCGGACTGAGGATAATTTACAGAAAGCTTTGTTCTTTTCCTTTAAGAGAAATTTTCCAAGGCTGCTTTATTTTGAGAAGCCTGAAGTAGATGACTGGCAGTCCTGAGGAGGTTCCATTAAGGAACGGATCATGTGTATCTTTCTTATTGAATCCCTGACACCTAGCACAAAGCCTGGCACAGGGAAGGCACTAAATAAATATGTGTTGAATATGACATACTGAAGCAGAAAGGGAAAGTAGGTTGGGTAGTTTCTCAGTGGCTATGGTTAGACAATCACTGGTGCTGAAAACATGAGAATGAATGAGGAAAAGAGGTGAGAGAAGCTCTTAAACAAAGGGGAAGCTCTCTTTATCTGATTGAAGCCCCAATAATCCTTCAGGCTGAGAGGCTTGGAAGGACTACGAAAGGCAGAGATATTTAAATGAGGCCTCCTTAAAATTGTTACTCTCCACCCCACCCCCATACCCCTTTAAATTCTGTTTCAGTCATTACCCAGAGACCGGATACAGAGATTGCTATGGGGAGTTCTAATGGGTCGATTCAATTTCAACTGGATGACGCCACTTAGTCAAGCATTAAGAGCTACAGCTCCGGGAAAGCAAACGACAGAGAGGGAGAGAAATTATAACACGGAGCAATAAATCCCTCCCCTCCCATCCTCCCCTGTAACCCATTCACAAGACCTCCAGAAATCATCTACATTCACAAAACAGCCAGCTAGCTGAGCTAGACACACTGCAACGCCATCCCCCTCCCCCCGCTCTCTGCAGATGATAGCCCAGCAGCACTCCCTGAGAGGAGAGCTATATAATCACACACTAGCGGTATCTATTGCTCTGCTGAGATACCCTGTGTCTACAACTGCAGTTTCTGCTGCTTCTGTACATCTGTCAGATTGGAGGAGACAGAGGCGGAGGTAGAGGCGGAGGCAAAAGAGAAGGAGGGGGAGGAGGTAAAGAAGGAGGAAGGGGAGGAGAGAAGGGGGAGGGGAAGAGGAGGGGAAGGAAAAAGCTAGAGGAGGAGGGAGAAAAGAAAGAGGAGGAGGAGAAGGGGGAGGAGAAAGAGGCGGAGGAGGAGGGGGAGGAGAAAAAGGAGAAGGAGGAGGAGAAAGAAGAGGAGGAGGAGGAGAAAAAGGAGGAGGAGGTGAACAACTTACCCTGCTGAGCTTTCTTTGGGGAATACGTGCACCAAGATTTAGATCTGCAAGTAAAATGTATACAAAGTATCTGCCACTACAGGTCTGACCCCCCCCCCTTTTTTTTCTTTCTTTCCATTTTCTCTGCTGTGTCAGAAAGACCAAGACAGAACTATCTCTGTTTCTGGCTCCACTGCCAGTGAAGGAGTTTTCATTCAGACTTTCCGAAAAGAGGTGGAGAAGCCTATAAAGACTCAAGAGAAGAGGTCCTTGGAGCCAGATGGGGCATTAGTTCTTCTGCCTTTCTCAGCATGGATAAACCCTTTCCTCAAGGTAAGCCATAGACATTAGCTCTTAAGGACCCCAGAATTCTTTCTGTGCAATGCACAGATTGCCATTCATTCCTGCTATCCTGTGTGTGTGTGTGTGTGTGTGTGTGTGTGTGTGTGTGTGTGCGTGCGCAAGCAAGCAAGCAGGCAAGCAAGCAAGCAAGCGCAAGCGCGTGGGTAAAATAAAATGAAGCCCATTTAAATGAGATTTAAAAGAATCAGCTCTTGCAGAAAACTATCCGTATCTGAATTTCATAAATCAAATGGAACTTCAAAATAGCCCTTATGTATCCAAATGTCAATTTATTTTCTAGTCTATTAACCTTTAAATGCGTTTTGGTGCTTGCCTCAGTCCCTCATAGCGCAGCCTAACCACCTAAGCTGAGAACATAGGGAGAGCCCCTGCTGAGGCCAGTCTGGCTGCCCAGCGGGCATCCTGTCAGCTTGGGGCTAGTCTGCTATTGGCTCACAAGTCTGGGCTGTGCATCGTTCAGATTTCATCACATCACCTTGCCCTGGGTAGAAATGGCGCAAGCTGACACGGCATAACCCCCTACTTACATTGAGTCAGAGTAATGATTTAGAAATCTCTGGATCCATGCCTGAGAGTGTGTGCACGTCTCTGTGTGGCATATGGAAATTTAGTCAAAAGAGAGAACCTGTAAGCATGTCTAGTTAGCTGATAGGCATTTGATAGGACCTAGGGCAACGGCTTACTACACACTCCTTTCCGCTCTTCTAATTATAGTTATCACTCAGTCTCTGCATGCTGCGAACCAAGTTGGTTGAACAGAAAACAGACCTTGAACTCTGAGGCGGAAAATCTATTTTGAAATGCAAGCTATTGCTTTTTTGGGTGCATTGAAACCTCACTGTAACATAAGTGCTATCACATGAATTTGGATACACCAGGTGTTTAAATCATGTTCCCAACAAGTCAGCTGCATACATACATACAGATAAGACACAGGGTATCAAGTTCTCCACAAAGGGAAGTATTAGTCTTGTTCTCTTCTGCCTCTAAACGAACATGTACTGAGACATTGTTATAACATTCTATACATTTTATTTTTTCATGTTCTGGTTTTAGGTCTCTCTAGATGTTAAATATAGCCTAAATAGTGAGTGATCTGAGTGACTTGGAGGTATTTATTCAGAGTTGAGGAGTTAAGTAGTGAGGAAGTAAAGGACCAAAAGGAATGGAGATTCATACTTCGTGACAGGCTTTTGAGACAGAGAAATGCAACTGGCAACCCCAGCATAAAATTTTTTTGAGCATCAGGACCAGAAGGGTCTTTAAAAACCCTCCTTTCAAATCCCCTCAGAAGTCACTTGCCCACGATCACACAGCAAAGTAGAGTTAGAGCTAGGACTAGACCTTAAGTTTCTTGTCTCTTCTAAAAGGATTTGGGGTTTAAAGAAATATTTCTACTTCTTAAATGAACAACTAGCTTTTTTTCTTTAGCATTTTCCTCAGGATTGGAAGCATATGAATTCATCTCGCATCACAGTTTTCCCCTGTATAGTTCATCACTAAAACTCCTATGTCTTTTAATGAAAAGTATGAAAACTGCAAGACTCCCCTGTTGGAAATAAACTGCTATGAGTCTTAATGAAACTATTAAAATAATGAATAGGACTAGGGTAGCAAAGTGACAAGTTAAGAGTTAAATGTGGTGAGAACCTGGCAGCTCCAGTAAGATGTATGCGGTAGGAAGGAGGCCCAGTCAGTGGCAGAGAGGTTAGTAATGTAAACTATATACAACTTGGTATTTGTAAGGGGGGAGCTCTTTGATAGAGATGCAAATGCTTGTGCACAGAGAGGGATTTTTAGAGAGCGGACTTTGGAACAGTAGAACTAAGAAAACATATAAAGCCATAGCAGAAATTCCCCCTATGTTTGCTTTCAGTTATTCTGAGAACGAGGGTATGCAACAGCAGAGCACAGAAAAAAGCAACACACCCCAGAGCCTTTACACAGTAAGGTACAAAACAGCATTGAACCCATGAGAGTGGGAGAAAAAAGGAACCAGGCTCTCCTTCTTCTCTTGCCCACTTTCTTCTGTGAAATCAACATCGAGTCATATTGTATCAGAAGGGATTTATCATAGAAATCAGAACTGTCTTAAAGTGTTAGCACAGAGGGGCTTTCGACAGGAAAGTTTTCAACTTTAATCTCAACATGGCAGAGCAATTGGGGCAGATTTTAGTTCTAGAGAGAAAATACATTTTTCTTTCATTAACAAACATCAGTATTTCTTGAATAGATTTAGCTTTCTAGTCCCTAAATTGACATAAGAAAAGAAATTTCTATTTAGGTTGAACATAGCAAATTTCAGGGCTACAGAAAAACTGTTGAAAAAGCTATGAGCACCTGGCCAGAGGGACCGAGATGGGAGTGGGTTTACAATGCATCATTCATTACTGCAGAGGCTCTACGTGACAGAAATCACTAGATCCCATCAATGTGCAGCCAAGAACTTGTAATCACCTTGGGTCCTATTTAGTAATATGTGATATATATTTTCTATCCCTTATTTAATAGAATATGGAATTGACCAATAGCACTGTCAGTTTCTTGACTGGTGTAGCGCACAGTGAATGGCTCTGTAATGGGTGGATTTCTGAATCGTAAGCATGCCTGCAGTAGTAGCTTTTCGTCTAGTCTATGGGCTGCAGCAGTCTCATGCCTATTCATTTCTTGACTTTTTTTCCCTCTTACCTTCCTCTACAGTATCTATTTCAGTTCATCCTATTAGCCAGATTGGATTCAGCACGTCCAGAATGGCAAACAATTTTTTGTCATTCAATCCTTTTTTTTTATCCTACTCAACACCCTGACTTTACCCAGGTCCTACTGCCCACCGTATTGCAGATCTTCCACACTGGATCACAGAGTACATTCTAATAAAAGTTTTATAGGGCAGGAGGAAACCTTGTGAGACTAAACCTTCTGAATTGGTCCTGTCAATCCCATTACCTGTAAGCAAGATAGTACCCCATCTTCCCAGACCAGTGCCCCAAGCTTCCCGCAATCACCCAACCAAGTGTTTCAACTTCTCAGTATTTCAGCAATCTAATCAACATCCAAATGTGCCTCTCAACCTAAATGCCATATACCCTTCTGCTCCCCAGACAGGATCACCTTTGAACATGGTTCTCATTATTGGCTACTGAGCCCCTTGGTTCTGAGTCGTTTATACTATGACCTAGATTTCTCCAAGTTTAGCTTTTGACCTTCTGGGCATATCCCTAAGGTACCTAGTGAAATCCCTGGAATACTGTCTTTGGAATCCCACATGATCATCTCCTGTAACTTGGAGACCTTGTATGCCTTCCTTTGAATCATTGCTTCTTGGAATTTCCAATATGTTTTTAATCTAGTTTCTTTCGGGAAATCAATGAGTCTACAATGCATCCAGTGTGTATGTGTAAAAGACTTGAAGGGCCCAACACATTCTTTATCTGATTAATGGACAAAAACCCATTTCTTATAAATTCATCAAAAGATTGTCCCCAATCCAAAGTTCTTACATCCTCATACCCTCCAAGTCAGCTGAACAATGTGTCCTTGTTTATTTGGGTATTCAAATGAAAACTGTCTGTTCCTCTCCAAGGCTGAGACTTTGAATCTGTTAAGATACAGGCAAGGTAGAGGAAAGACGTTACAAGGGGCTTTGAGTCCAAGTCCAATGAATGAAACAAATATTTTGCTTTTGAATGCCCAAATAAACAAGGGCACATTGCCCAGCTTACTCTCAAGAACTTGAAGATGCAGAAAGTGTAGATGAAGAGAATTCTTTTGTCAAGTATCCTAGTTATAGAATTACAGAACATAATGGGGCAGGGTCCTTTGAGATCACCCAGCCCACCCCTGTAATTATATAGATGGTGGAATCGAGGCCCAAAGAAAAAAAGTGATTTGACAAAGATAACGTAGATATTTGAGTCTCTATAGTAGCTATCTGCGTTCTTTTGTGCTGGGTTAAACAACACCAAAACAACTCCCTAAAAAGTGAAATTTTAGTCAGACTGGTTCTTTGATGTGATGTGCCCAAAAAAGCTATTTTGTAATCAAATTAAATCTTCTTTCCAAAAAAATGAGTAGATGTAAATTCATCTAAACTGGTTTGCTGGGGATATAGCCCCAAAAGGCTACAGAGTCTGGTCCATATTACTACCTACAGGGTCTTTTATGAAATGCATCATTATTTTTCCTGTTACTGAGCTTTGGGCCCATTTCAGAGTCATTTGCTTGCTCATAAAAATCTAATAAAACACTATCCTCTCTCCCTTGTTCATTTCTATTACTCATTCAAGCTATCCATCCTATACAGTAGTGTGACTAATCGATCTATTTTGAGTAGGCCTGGAATCTGATGGATTTCAAATACATACTTTATTCATGCTGGTGTTCTCTAGGTCCTAACGCCTCCAGGATGTCTCTTGGATTTATGTCTGGGTTTGTCTGTGTACACCTTTTTGGCTATTTAGTCTTCCAGGTGGTGTGATACAGCAGTCTATTGTTTGTACAACCATGCAATATTTTCCTCCCGGTCACCATTATCAGTGCTAGTCTTGATCAAATCCTTTAGGGAATGACCACTCAGCTCTTCCTGACTGTGGTACAATGGAGACACAAGCTTATGCTTTCTAGATATTCAACGTAGCTTAAATATGGTATAAGAACTGGATTGCTCTTTGACAAATCCAGTTTGTTGTGTAAGGTAAGGATAGACAAAAGCAGTCCATGCAGATTATGCCAAGTAAAATCCATAAACATACAGTTTACTCAGAGTGGTAATAGGTACTATATTTGAAATAATTCAGGGCTCATCTTCTATGGTTTCCTAATCCCCAGTGTTACTGTAAGAGGAGGAAAATTACAAGATGTTTAGTCTTGGCTTCCTTATTCCTTACACTGTTGGGAAGCTTTGTTTCTCTAAATGAATTCCGATTACTCTACAGACAGCCTAATTCTTGCCTGCTGTGTCTCTGTCGTGTCTCTGCCATTATTTGCATCTTGCTTGCTTGCCTATAGTCATTGGATCACGTAATGTCCTTTCTTGTCTGTTCATTTCTGCCTGTCACCAATGGCACTGAAAGGATACATTTGACTGGTGGCCTTTGCATTTGAAATTAGGTTCCATTTTTATTAGAACTCTGATGCTCAAGGCTCAGATTTCTGTGTGTTAGTAAACACCAGGATGAGCTAGCTACTCCTGTGAACCTAGTTGTATGATGGAATACAAAGGAATCAAAGATCTAACCTTTGATCTCAAAGTGCTTTATAGTCTGGATGGGATGACCAGACTTGCCTGTAAAGAAGTAGGTGAGGTCAATTACAAACTAAAGGTGTAACATGAAGACTACTGCAAAGTGATTGAACGTGGTAGTGGTGATAGGTTCTGAGCTTATTTGGTTCCCTGCAAAGTACTCGTGCCTGTGTGTTCTCATTTATTGTTTCTCTTCCTTCCCTCCTAGGATTTTCTGATGTGCCCTGAGGTCCATGTAACTACAAGGTCTCCACTTTATCACCTTAAGTGCCACCCTGACCCAAAACCACTCAGAGCTCAAGAATCAAGGCAAAATGGATGCCGCAATGACAGATGATTTCCAACAAATCCTGCCTATTGAACAGCTGCGCTCTACTAATGCTAGCAACGATTATGTGGAGCGGCCTCCGGCCCCCTGTAAGCAGGCCCTCTCTAGCCCTTCCCTTATTGTGCAAACCCACAAATCTGATTGGTCCCTGGCTACCATGCCTACGGCTCTCCCCCGCAGTCTCAGCCAGTGCCATCAATTGCAGCCCTTGCCTCAGCATCTGAGCCAGTCTAGCATTGCCAGCTCAATGTCCCATAGCACCACTGCCTCTGATCAAAGGCTCTTGGCCAGCATTACACCCTCACCTTCAGGCCAGTCCATCATCCGAACCCAGCCTGGAGCAGGGGCCCACCCAAAGGTTGATGGTGCTCTGAAGGGAGACGCTGAGCAATCTGCAGTGCACCCCAGTGAGCACCTCTTCATCTGTGAGGAGTGTGGGCGCTGCAAGTGTGTCCCTTGCACCGCAGCTCGCCCTCTACCCTCCTGCTGGCTTTGCAACCAGCGTTGCCTTTGCTCTGCTGAGAGCCTCCTCGATTATGGCACTTGTCTCTGCTGTGTCAAGGGCCTCTTCTACCACTGCTCCACTGATGATGAAGACAACTGCGCCGATGAGCCCTGCTCCTGTGGGCCTAGCTCTTGCTTCGTCCGCTGGGCAGCCATGAGCCTCATCTCCCTCTTCTTACCCTGCCTGTGCTGCTACCTGCCGACCCGTGGATGCCTCCATCTGTGCCAGCAGGGCTATGATACCCTCAGGCGACCAGGCTGCCGCTGTAAGAGGCACACTAATACCGTGTGCAGAAAAATCTCTTCTGGTGGTAGTGCACCCTTTCCCAAGGCCCAGGAAAAGTCTGTATGACCTTCCTACGAGCTGGATCCAGAGCTGTCTCCTTTAACCCCCATCAGTAAAGGATAGGCCTCACTTTTGAAGAGGGGGAGGAGTAATCAACTAGCCAAAGTTAGGGCCTCACCTCTTTTGTTCCTGCAGTGTCAGGGGAATGGCCAAGTACATCCTGGTGGAGGATGCCTTGTTCTTTCTCACAGTATCAATCCCACTCCTCTTCAACCTTTCTACACCCCGCCAGCTCAGCCTTTATGGCTGTTATGGCAAATTCAGGTGATACATAGGCATAAGGTTTGGACACTGAGGACCCACAGAGCCAGCAACGTGGAGGTTTAGGGGCTCCCCAATGTAATGCCTCTCGGTGCGGGCTCTGAGCATCACTCTGCTTTCCACAGTGCCTTTGGGAGCTTTCTTCTAAGATGGTTTTCACAGGTCAATGTGGAACAGCATTCAGTCTCCCAGGGAATCTGACCCCTTCTCCCTCTTCACTGCCCTTCTCTTCTTTCTTCCTCTCTCTCTTTCTCCCTTGCTCTTCTTTCATTATCCTTCCCCCTTCGTTCCCGCCCTTCTCTACTTTTACTCTTCCTCCTTTTTTCTCTCCCTCCCTTCCCTCTCTTTCAGACTAATCCTTGCTCTGCCTCTATTTCTATTTGTTTGATATAGCTTTGTTTTCTCTGCTGCCCCTCTTTCTCTAACACTTCCAAAAGTGCTGTTTTTTCCATAGGTGTTTCTTTTGACTCCAAACTTTGCTATGCTATACTATTTACTAATTTTTATTAAGTGAAATGGATTACTGTAATGAACTGATCACTAGCAATAGTCTATATCCTGATATGTGTGTGTGTGCACTCACAACCACACTTACCTGTGTGTGATCATATGAGGCAAAATTATCTTACATTTCCAGGTTTAACGAGTTGGAGTTTTACTCCCATTCCCAATAACGACTTGTAGTCCTGACAGATTCCACTAGCATGCTGAGTAGGATAGTAAATCAGGATGCTCATAACTTCGTATGTCTGACCCAAGTGCCAAAGGCAGACGTGCTTTATAGCTAAATGAACAAAGCAAAGGATATTAGGGAGGTCTGTTCTCTCTTAGAAGCTAACTGCCCTGAGACTGCATGGCTCAGGCCTTCATAATGGACATAAAAAGTCGTAAAACTTTAAGAGTTGGAAGGAATCTTAACTATTAATCTAGTTTAATGCCCTTATTTTACAGATGGAAAAACTGAGGTCTGGAGAAAGGAAGGGACTTGCCCAAGGCCACACACTGAGTTAATAACAGGGTTGGGACTGGAATACAGGCATTCCGAACCCTAGTTCGATGTTCTCTCCCCTACACCACATTGAGTCATGGGACTTTTCTCCTAAGACTCTATTAACAGCGACAGAAAGCCATTCCTATCCCATTAATTTTCAGGAACCATGCAAAGTGAGTGTGGTGGTCTTTAGTGCATGGTGGGTAGCTAATTAACTATTAGGTGTCGAGGCTGTCCCCATTGGACATTGGCTCTGTCACCTTGTAGAAGCTCAAGTGTGGAAAAGAAAAGCTGAAAGAAGCCCTAACCAAGCTGTACCTTCACCATTGCATCTACTCTTTACTGCACACACTGTGCTCACTCCTGGCTTTGTCTACAATGGCAGTTGCCTGAGAGCCTAAATTTCAGCAACAGTGAAAAAGTCAGATGAAAGATGTATAATGCAGAGAACGAACTTCTCTTTTAAAAAATACAGAGAGCCTGTGTTGTGAACCCCCTTCAACGGGAAAAAGCTGCAATGGTGATGGCAGGCTCCTAAAGACTGCTGCTAAAAGGCATAAAGTACAGTTTCCCTCTGTAAGTGAATCCAAAATTCACTAAGGAGTTCAGAGATTGAGGGCACTTGCTTGAAATCAAGGTGCTCCAACTTAGTTTAAGACTTCCCGACTCTAACTTCATATATCATCTCTTTTCAAGTGTGCATGGATGTGTGTTGCTGGGTGGAGAGGTGGGGAGGAGAAGTTATAGTCGTACACAGGGGCAAGAAGAAGGGGACATCCACATCTTTTTTGTTGGATACATACACTGAGAGATAACAAAAGAGAACTACAGAAATATGTGCCACTCAGTCTTTATGGGTTCTGAATCTTCCTGAAGTGTACTGACATTTGGGCTGCACACAGCCCCACACCTTCACTTACACCTCTTCTAGAATTGCTTTGCTCTATTTTTGTATATATAAATATGTTATGATGATTATTAATAGTGTTAATGATATTGCTGCAAATGGTGCCATACATAAGGTTTGGCTTCTTGGAACATTTATAAACCCAAACCAATACCTGTAACCTCTTATGTTGCTTTCAGATCTTTCAGTTTTAAGTAACCTTTCGTTTTTTTAAATCTTACAAGTCTGCCTGATTGAACTTTGAACTTAATCTACCCCTAAAAACTGTTCCCAGGTCTCTGGGTCAAGCTGGATGACTATGAGTAGCAACACACACTTCTCTCTGCTTCTGCCTGAAATTTGCTTGGAGCTGAGATATATAAGGATTCTCTGACACTAGTGCATTGTTCCTAAATTCCTAGGATTATTCTATGGATGTTTGCTTATTAGTTTCAGGGCCCAAAATAACACAAGTCCCTCCTCCTTGATAGCTCCTTGATATCCCAATCCTGCAGTCCTTACTCAGGCAAATCGTGCACTGCCAGAGGGGCCCCAGGCTCTGCCATACACCCAGAGGAGCTCTTCTCAGTGTATTTCTAAATGGCCTTATACTTGGTAGAAGAAACCGAAGGGTTACTCAAATGCAGTTGCAATCTGCAATCTGCTGCTGAGTCAGGGCTTTCACTTGTGTCCAAGTTGGCCTGATATTATGGACTGCATCTGGTTTACGTATAGATGGGTCCTATTAGGGTACGCGCACAAATGTGTCAGTGAGTGTGCATATGTATCCCTTCTGTGATTTTATATATATATATATATGTAAATATATATAGTCACACATCTCTATATATTTTAATGTATTGCACATGTATATTTAAAATATATACGGAAGAACTCTAAATCCTGCAGAGAGGCTCTGTTTTCATGATTTTTCTACTTCGTGTCATGTTCTGTATAAACAGGAATATTTAGAGGGTGTTTCCTGCCTACCATTTTTTTGCAGTTAAGTCATCTGTTACCCGCTAATTCTAGTGCTTTCCACATATTGGTCCCTTGATACATTTCATATGGCTTTAGCAAGAGTTTTCCTTTTCAGCCCATCTTCCCTCATCACTGTAGCTCTAATAAATATGGTGAACACTTACATAGTTCTTATTATGTACTTAGCGCTATTTAACCATGTTACCTATATTATCTCATTTAAACCTCACAATAACTCTACAATGTAGGTACTATTACTATCTCTATTTTAAAGATAGGAAAACCAAAGCACAGAGAGGTTAAGTGACTTGCCAAAGGTAACAAAGCTTATTAACGGTGGAGGTAAGGTTGGAACTCAAGTCCATGCTCCAGAGTCAGGAGGAGCATAATGTAAACCTTTCTGGAGTAACATGCCTCAAATGGTGAATAGTCCTTTCTCTAACTCCAGTCCTTCTGCAGTTTAAGAGTGGAAACAAATGTGCTCTTATGTGAGGAGCAAAACAAGTTACAAACACCATATATTAGCTGTCTTACTTCCCAAGATGGTAGAAGTACAAACTTCTCTGCTATGCCCTTTGAAAACATACTTGTAGCTAGTTGCCATTTCTCAGCAGAGCCTATGGTATAGAGTTAACAGAGGGTATTTTCATTGTGCCAGAGAAAGTAAGAGTTTATTTGTCCTTTTTATAGGCCAGGGAAAACTAATTCAATTTCTTTCTGTAAAAAGTAGAACTGAAACTATTTTCTGAACTTGAGGTTGGTCAGAGCTGTTAACATTCAAACTCATTGATTATATTGAGTGCATTCTTTTGATTCAAATGTAAGCAATCCACCGATGACCACTGGTCAATGTAACAACTTGCCTTTTCCTGTCACCTCCTTCACACTGACAATCCGTCACCTTGCCATTATTTCAGAGCCAGAAGGACCCCTAAAGAACATCTAGTCCAACATTAACTTTTTATAAGTGGAGAAAAAGATGCATAGAGAGGGAAAATAACCTGCTCAAAGTCACACGGTTCCGGGTTTGAGTGCAACTATGACTTAGAGTTCCTAATTTCCGATGTCTTAGCCTGGGTTTCCTAGAAAACAGAGCTTGAAGAAAAAAACTACTTGCAATCTCAGAGAAGTACGAGTAAAGAAAACGGGTAGTGAGGTAGAGAAGGAAGCAGAGCAAACGTAAAGGAGTGTGTTACTGAGCTGGCCACAATCAGTTTTGTGCAAGCTAATTTCTCAGTCTCTTATGACATATGAAACTACTGCATCTCCATGCAGCCCATCTGAGGGAGGAAAGGAGAAGAATTCATCTGCTAGCTCCCATCTCATTAGTTAAATACCTTCCCCACGGAATATTAACTCCCCTGCACTTCTGGGAAGTACATGTGTGGGTGTCCAAGCATGTACCTTGGCATCTCATGCCTTGGCAGCAATGGGGAAGCATTGTGGCTTCACTATGAACAAACAGCAAGGCAAGCGTGTGGATATAGGAAGATATATAAAGTGAAATTGCCACACCAGGCTGGTACTGCTCCCTTACATTTTAAATCATATTTATTCAAAGTGAATTAGAGATAACCTACCATCTTTAAAGTGTATAAGGCTTTATTGTGGGGCTCAGAAATCTACTAAATCTGCCTTCCTGAATCTATTTATTCTCTGACCTTCTTTCAAGGGCTTCTTTCTACATGGAAATTAAGTTCCTAGTACAATTAGAGGAGTAAAAACAGTCTCAAAATATCCTTCTTCTTAGTATTATAAGGAACTTTATCTTACTGAACTCTTCAAAAAGCATGTCTAAGCCAATGCATGTACATGAGTGTACATACGTTCATTTACGCTGCATCAGCATACTAGCAGGAAAACTGGTCAAGTTAATAAATTAAAAAAAATTGGCTACACAAGTTATTTTGCGGCACAAAAATAAAACTATCCTTTGGTTGACTGGATTTTTTATATTTCAGCCGTTCATTATGACATCACATGAACCCATTCTAAGATTTACACCATTTTTTTAATTCTCATACACAGTAGTTCCTTGTGTCCTATAGACCATTCTTACATGAAGTCAAAGCATTTGTTTGATAAAAACATCCCACTGATAATGGCTTCATATCTATGAGCATGGTTATAAAAGCATAGAACG